CTGCTGCCCGAACTCCATGAAGGCGGATTTGGACGAGTCCTGGCCTTCCAAGCCGTCAGCCATCGTAGTCATGGTCATCATCAAAACTTTGGGGGCTGGAGAAAGGCTTCTCCCGGGTTTCCTTCACCCTCCCCCACTTGGCTCGCGCCGCTCTCCCCTCCGCAGCCACCTTAGCTCTTGGGATCCTTGCAAAAAAAAATAAAATAAAAATTTAAAAAGGAGGGGGCGGAGGTGGTTCTCCCTCTCCCTCGCTCTTCTCTAATATATATATATATATATATACATACATACATACATACATATATATTTAATATAAAGAGATAGAGTGAGCCGGGCCTTGTTAACCCAAAGGGAGGAGGAAGGGGGAGGGATGGGAGAGGAGAGGGGGGAGGGGGGAATCTGCTCTCCCCCCCCTTTCCTTTCCCCCCTTGGATTTTTTGGGGGCTGGTGCAGTTTAAGGCAGAGATTTTAAGGTGGATTCTGCGAAAGTTGCGCGTCTGCTTTCAGACTTGATGCAGACGCCACGAGTCGAATGGTTTGTCTCCAAAGGGCAGCGCCTCCCCATTGGTCAGTCGCCCTCTGACGTCACAGGCGCACGGCTTCCACTGGCGTGTGCGCGCTGCTAGCAGAGTTCTTCGCCTACCTTAGGCAACTCCAATCCCAGCCTAGAGCTGCAGCCCCGGGGCCGCGCGGCCAGGCTCCCTGCGCGGCCGCGGAGGGGAGGCGCCTCCTCCCGGACAGCCGCCGACGCTGCCCTCCGAAGCTCGTGCCCCAAATCTCGGAACCCTAGTTTCCAGTATCGCAGCCTTTCAACAGTCTAGCGGAGAGCTACTCCCTCTCCATCTCTAGGCACTCTTGTGGGGTGGCTGGAGATCAGCAAGGACCCTTGCATTTTAAAACCTGTTCCCCTTCCTTGACCTCTCCCCACCCCACCCCCGCACCCCAGTCCCACTATACTCTCGCTTCCTGTCACTGTGGATTTTTTCTAGATATACTTTATGAAAACGATCGAGGGAAGAACCCCCCACACTTGTGCTCCACCCCATGGGGGAGGGGGGGCGGAATGATAAAAAGAAAAATCAGATCCAGTTCTGTCGAGGTTCTTGCCGTTTCAGGCTGTATTTTTGTATATATTGGGCCCCCTTAGTATATACGGAGGAGGAATATCTAGGGTGCATGAGTTCCCCCCCCCCAAAAAAAATACAGCAGCTTGTTTTGAAAGGGAATGGTTGGAGGACTGACAGTAATGCATTTTTTCCTATTGAAAACAGAAGCTACTGTAATGCTTTCAAATATATGCAAATGATACATGCGGTTAGTGGTTTGGCAAATCTTGATTACAATATAAACTACCCAAGTAAAAGTGCCTTACGTCCTAAATTTGTCTCTCGATTACAATTCCAATTGATTTTATTTTATTGTCAACATTGTTAATGATAAAAATAGAGTCGTTTTACAGTTATTTTTACTTTCTGGAAGGAGGCAATTAGAGTTCTAATCAGGAATACACAAAAAATCTCCCATGATTAACTGCAGTACTTTGTTCAAATTGCTGCTATAAAATTCAGAACAATTTGCCTGTAATGATTATGGACTGGGTTTATTTTGGGAGGTGGAATAAAAGTGGATATAGCATAAATTATCCTCTAATTATACACCAGTGTCGCCTCAATTATCCTCTTATCAAAATGGTTGTCTAAATGCCGCATTTAGTTTCAATTCTCTCCTTTTTTTCTATAAAAAGAACTTCATACCTTGTTATTATTAATCCATTTATTATTTGCAAGGGGATTTATATCCGCACATCCAGGTGGTAGAACCACTTCTCTTTCAAAGATGGACTGGGGAAAGACATTAAGTTTGGAGCAGCCCCAGGCTGCGGATCTAGCCGTTCTCCTTTCGCTCTCCAGACCCAGTTAGGACCAGGCAGCCGAGCAGGGACCGCGGAGCTCAACGAGCGCGGCTCGGGCCCGTCACCAGGTAGGAGAGCCGGACTTGGCGCCAGGTGCGGAGGAGGGCAACCCAGGCCGCACCAGAGTTGGGGCCCTGGGACTGCGGGTAGGCGCCGGGAGCCTGCGCTGCACCGGATCCAGACTGGGTGGGCGAAACCTGCAGACCCCCATGGGTTTAGTGCTTACTTTCGGTCTGCGCAGAGACTTAAGCTGGGAGCCTTTGGCCACAAGGCAAAATGTGCAATCTCAACGCAGTGTCCTCTGGAGGTTTGGGGGGGTGGATTTTTGTTGTTGTTGTTGTTGTTTACTGACTTTGGGAAAATTGCTGGGAATTTTTTCCCATCTTACTTCACCTGTGTCCCATAATTGTTGGGATGCAAGGACTTTGAGAACAGGAGAATTTATTCAATGATGCAGTTGTCATTGCGATTCCAGGAGCGGTTGCCGTCGGGAGCTTCCTGGACTCTACTTCCAGGTTGCTGGAAAGCTAAGGCCGCGGGGTAGCGGCTTATGCTAATTGAATTTCCCCCCCAAGTTCCTAGCCTGGAGTTTCCAGGCAGCACCAGTTTGTCGTCCCCCCCTTTTTTTTCCTTCTTTTTTCTCTCTCTTCCTTTAATTCATCAGAAGACCTGACGCTTTCTGTCTGCGGGTTTTCTCCGGAGTTCCCAGCCGATGTTTGCTTTCCTCTCCCCCTCCTTTTCCCAACCCGCTGAGCTTAACTTCTTGAGTCTCGGGAGCCGGTTCAGTAACTCTGAATTCATTTTTAAGTGGCGTCCCTTGTTCTTTTCCTTTTAACAAGAGGTGCTCTCTTTAACACGCGAACCAGTAACCCGATCCACGCGTTTACAAAACGGCAGTGAATTATAACAACAACTAAATCTTCAAGGAAAATGAAAGGTGGGGCTGCTTAGGGGGGAATGGAAGGGGGAACAGAATGGGAAGCCAGGGAAAGAGAAGGCAGGCAGGTATATTCACTCGCGGTGCGCGCTTGGGGGACCCGGACTGTACAGTGTGCCAGTGCGTAATGCCTCCAAGCCAGCAGGTAGTCGTGGCAGTTTTATTGTTTTATACCCTGCGGCTTGCGGGTTCATAGGGGAAAGGCGTCGCAGCCTCTCTTTGTGACGGTCCCCTTATGCTCACTCTCTCGCAGGTGCACTGCTTTTCTTGTGGGCTCCCCCCAGTTCCAATGAGGGCATCTTGACCAGAATGGATGGGTAGGGTCTCCTGAGATCGTCCAAGTTACACTTAAGCATCGTAACTAAGAAGCCGCAGCATCTACATGCAAAGGGCATCCCCCCACCTTGCGTGTTTAATGGATGAGGAAACTAGGTTCACTAGAACTGTCCATCCAATTTGTAGTTTCGGGGCGATTTCCCCTTCGAAATTAGGTAGTGAATAAAATCGTTTACTCTGTTCAGGGGCTGTGCAAAAGTGTGCGGTGGTATCCAGGAGGTAGTAATGTATGGTAAAGGTCCTGTTGAGACCTGCGGGGGTGACCCAGGCTGCGATCTTCAGAAGAGGATGGCTGAGCTCAGTGAGCAAGGGGGTCTCTTCTGCCCACACAGCGGTCTCTGTGTGCACTTGTGGGTTAGAATTCCAATTGCAGGTGTGGCTGGGTGAGTTCCTTGATAGTTGGAGAATAGAGAGCAGAAAACTGGTGTGTCCTTAGCTCTGCTAGTGGTCACCACATGTGGCCACTGCCACCAGCCTCAGCACAAAGAATTAGGCAATAAAAGCTGCTTCTGGCAGCCATTTCTCTCTGGTAAAGCCTGCAACTTGTCTCTCCAGTGCTTTCCCCAGCATTGTGGGCAGCAGTAATTAGGCCAAGCTAGGAGATTGGAATCACCTCTAGTTTGACCTAATCCCCAGCACACTCTTCAGAGGGAAAGCTTGGGTTTTTCAGAACTTTACAAAAAGGCACACACCTCAGGAGCTCCTGGCAGGGCTGCTGGGGTTCACTGCCAGTGGGGGGTCTTGGCTCCTGCCCCTTTGTCTCACCCGCGGGGAACCAGGCTAACCCTTTATCATTTAAAGTAGAGGTAAACTCAGAAATCCACAGTCCGGACCTGTGGGCTCTTTTAGGGCCAGTAGTAGCTAAGGGTCACACTCATTAAAGTTTTAAGAAGCAGTTTTTGAGGCCTAAGCTTGCATTTCACTTTTTAAGGTGTTGAGATGTTGATGGTATTGAGGCTGTCAGCATTATTTAGAGAGAAATACTTGCATATTGCCAACACAAGTTTGCTTGGTTCTGCCTGCTACAGGCCACTCTTGGAGGAATGGGCCCATTGGGTCCAAACGTTTTTGCTGCTCTGGTTCTGGGGTTTTTGGATGGGTTTCTGTACAAACACATGGGTCTGGGAATGCCTGGAGATTCAAGGTGGGTTTGCAGTCTTGGTGTGGTTTGTTGAAGTACATTCAAGCTGGCCAGGGCTTGGCTGGGTTTGGTTGCAAAGTTGGGCTCAGTTATCACATTAATTCTAAAGAAATTAGACCTGGATAAATAGGCTTTGAATTCAAAGAAATAACTTGGTATTGATTTACATAGCCATATTAAGAACCCCCTTCTCAATAGGAGGCATTGCTGGAAAAAAAAAAAAAACTTCTGCTGGTCTTTTCCTCATTCAGTGTAAAATTCTGTTTGTGTATGTATGTAAAGAAAGGCTGCTTGATATTCTGGAAACACAGACATCCCTCTTCCATCCCCCAACACAGACATACACCTGTGAAAGCTCCGTGGCATGGGAGAGAACCCCTCATTCCCTGTTTCTTTTGTTGTTGTTGTTGTTGTTGTTGTTACCCAAGTTAGTGATGCGATCCTCAGGAGCAGCCAAAAAGTGTCAGATAAAGCAAATGAATAAAAAAGGAAAATGAAAAGAAAAATAAATACAAAACCCTCTAACATTTAGGTGACAATTTCTCTAGCAATAAAACTGTAATGTCTATGTTAACTTTCTTCTCCCATGTTCCCCTAATTCTAGCTAAATGGCAGACTTTGTTTGCTTCACTCCCAGAAGAAGACTCATTGAACTTTGCAGACATTTCTCTCATCTCCCCAGTGCTGGGTCTCAAGAACAGGTAGCTAGGAAACTCCAACCTGGGGGCTTCACGGAGTTTTCCAAAAGGGTCTGA